ACATCCAGGCCAGACTTAAAACATGTCATAGGCAGGTCATGTGTTGTAACTTGCAGAACTTTCAATCTAGTCCAGCCTTTCTCAACTGGAATTCTGTGGAGCCTGAGAGTTCCTCATGACATTGCTAGGGTTCTTTGAACAGTAAGCAGTGGCAAATTGATCCACCACCTGCACTGACCACCAATGCAAATGCAAATATTCCACTGCTCACTGGTGTAAGGGGTCACATCTACAATGACCACTAAGTTATCTTAAATTTAATTTTGTTGACAACAGCAGATAGATGTTAAAGAAAAAAATCTGTCCTGGATGTAAAATACTCTAGGATACCGCATTGCTTATTCTTTTATGTAAACATTTCTACAACCTAATGATCATGCCACTTAAAGTGTTACTAAACCCACAACAGTGAAATCAGTATGTATATGCAGTAAAGCATACTCGTTATAGTCACTGTAGAACCTAAGGGGTTAATCCTCCGCATTTTGTAAAAACCTGTTTGATCCTGTCTTCTCTGATCCTCCCTTTCTTCCACTGTCTGCAATCCGTCTTCTGTTAGTACAGAACTCTAGGAGTCACTTTGCACATGCTCAGTTTAGTGTGTAATGCTAGAGTGTTTTTTTTTCTTTAGGGAGTGCATGTAATCAGCAGATTGCCAATCAACACTGTTCAGATAGAGGGTCAGAGGTTATGCAACCTCACAGGACAGCCAGAGGAGAATGAAAACTCCTCCTACAAGCTTTAACAAGTGCTCAGCCAGACTCTGTTATAAGTCACAAGACTGCTATATACTGCCAATGAGAAAAGGTATTTATCAGTTTGTATTTACTAAAATAATTGCATTTCCATGTTCTGTGTACTGTGGAAGACCAGATATAGTGAATGCAGGGTCATAGGTTTAGTAACGCTTTAATGTGAGCTGTAGGTAATATTTTAGCAGGGGTTCTTTGAGACCTAAAAAAAAATTAAAGGGTTTCCTTGTTGGAAAATGGGTGAGAAAGGCTGGGCTAGACTGTAGAAATAAAACATTTCATATCTGGGTCATGGTATGAAAATCATGACAATGCTAGTAAACTTAGAATAGACAGCTTTTTTTTACAGAGGAATTGATGTGTTGGTTGTCAAAGACATAGAAAACTAAAGCAATCCAAAGAGAATAAAACGGTGCTCTCCCTCCGGAGGTAGAATACTGAATCAATTAGGATCCAGAATTCAGGGTCATTGGCAGGAAAGTGAAATTTGGAATAAATTTGAGATTCTATGTAAAATGTATAAATGTGCAATCCTAGTACACTGTACCATACAATAGATGAAATAGTCAGATCACTCTGTACAAAAAAGAAGGGAAGTTCCTTTTTTTCTTCCAGCAAAAAAAAAAAAAAAAAACAACAACTGGAAATAATCTTCAATCTGATTACATTACATGATTTCAGAATCTCTTTTAAAAGGATAAGGTCACATTTTAAAAGAAAATAATAAATGCACATTTTTTTGCAGGTAAAAAAATGTGCATTTATTATTTTTATCTGCAGGAGCCTGGAAAGCATTGCACCAGACATCAGTAGATCACTGATGCCATGCAGGTTTCCTACAGACCTGTCAGAATATCTGCTTGCTGTACGGTGATATGCGAGCAAGCAGATATTTTGACAGGAAGCTTCAATGAACTACCAAAGTGCTCCGCAACGCCATGGTAGCTCATTGAAAACTACAAGCCGATAGCCACTAAGGTCATCTGTAAATGAATATCGTGAAAGAAAGTCTGTGAGTGAATATCGCAGCTGTGTGGGCGGAGCCCCGCAGGGCCACGCTGTTTTCAAATTTGACAGATAGTACAGGGAGACTTCTTTCCGTGCTATCTGACGGAGGGGTGGGCAGCAGTTGTGACTATGGGAACATGTTACATGTTCCACCCTAACAACAGGTGGAACATATAACATGTTCCCAAAGGTGAACTTATCCTTTAAAGCAGGGGTGTCAAACTGGCGGCCCTCCAGTTGTTGTAAAACTACAAGTCCCATCATGCCTCTGCCTTTCGGAGTCATGCTTGTAACTGTCAATCTTGCAATGCCTCATGGGACTTGTAGTTTGGCAACAGCTGGAGGGCCACCAGTTTGACACCCATGCTTTAAAGTGTATACGAAAATCAAAACTTTTTTTTTAGCTTTGGATAGAATGCAGAAAACCTGTTTCAGGTTTTTATTGCTTTTCTTTTCCTCACTAGAGAGAATCACCCTCCTAATGGGGTTGACTTCCTAAAATTGGAGAGTACAAAATCTACTGCAGCTGTGCATGGTCACCAATCGCTTCTAAATCCGGCCATACATGGGTCGAATTCCAAAAGAATTTTCATTCGAAAATCTTTTCTAAGAATTTTCTTTGAATTTTGTACCATTAGTGGACCATAGCAACGGCCGATTTTCGAGCAACCATTGAATTTGAGTGATCAGGCATGTTGTAAATTTTTTGAAAAATGAACAAATTTCTAATTAATGATGGGAGAATCATGTGATAAATGTAATCGAAAAAGAAATGAGCATGAGCTGTGACCTGGAAAGAAAAGAAAATTCAGGCCAAGAAAATTATTTAACCTCCCTAGCGGTCTGATTATGTCCATATTTCTGTGCTCAATGCGGTACATTTTTTTGCATGGAAATATGTATTTTTTTTTTATTGTAGGCCTGTAATTTTTAGAAATAACTCACTGAAATCTGTCCGAACAAGAGTCTAGTAAACATCCCGTATATGATAAAATTTGAAACACGAAATCATAAATTATAATTTAATAAATAATCATAAAAAATAATAATAATATAATAATACATTTAATTTAATAATATAGTCAAACCAAAAACGCTGAAATTTGAAATATAGCGCCAAGTTCGCACATCACTGAGCAAAGTCGCAAAATCATTTTCAGTGTCTGATGACGAATTTCCCCACGAATCATTATCACTCAATTGTGCAAGTAGTTCTAATTTACTATCGCTGTTCTCTAGCTGGTCTAAAACCAATTTTGACCTAAAGGGATGCTTTTTGGACGCCATGGATGTTTCTCAGTTTCCAGGCAGAAAGAACAGTAAACATGCAGGCATGGCACAGGACAAAGCACTAGGGATAAAATGTATGTGAAATGGTTTGATACAGTAATGTTTTACTATGTGATTTTAGTGTATTTAGTGAATGTCACTTTTTGTCATTTTCAAATTTCCCGCCAGTTCCGTCCCCCGTACGTCCCGACGTCGCAGGGGATGGAACCCAGAAGACAGATACCGGCATCCGCCGGAGGACAGTACAGGGGAGACTGCAGGAGGGACATCGCGGGAGTGCAGGACAAGGTAAGAGAACAGATCCCGGAGCAGCGACGCATGGTAAGCCCGAGTGTAGCTCGGGGACCTCTTTGGGTACTGAAACTTTACCCCGAGCTACACTAGGGAATACCGCCAGGGAGGTTAACGATGTTAACTTAAAGGCTTGGTTGATTGCATTTTGAAATCAATGGTGGCACCATCGGATTACAAAATGCACAAAATCTCTGACCCATGTATGGCCTGCATAACCTCAGCTTGTTCAATTAAGCTTTGACAGTACAACCTGGAAGCTGATTGGTTTCTATGCAAAGCTGCATCAGATTTTGCACTCTCCCGTTTTAGTAAATCAATCCCATTGGGTCCTGCAGACTATTGTCTCTGGTACAGAAGGTAATGAGAAATCTAAAACGTTTAAATTTGTCACAGGAACAGAAGATGAAAGGTAATCTTCTGGAGGGAAAACCTGTTTTGGTGACAGCTGTCTAAGAGTGACTGACACAACATGGAAGATTTACTGACGGAGCATATTTTTTAATGACAACCTGAAAAATTACACCAACAATCAATATTTAAACAGTGTAAACACAATGTGACAATGTGAAAACACTGACAATACCTATAACAAGTAATTTGACTGGTTTACATTAAAAAAAAGTCAACACAGCATGACAAATTATCAGCCCCTGATATTTACAGATAGTTCTAAAAATGACTGATTTTTACAAACTGTCCGTAAATTTACTAACGGTTGGCAACCCTGATCCCCTTGATTTACAGAAATTTCTTCTTTTTCCTGCTGTGTATTTTGGAGGTCAAGAAAAATCTCCCCAACAGGACACAAACAGCATTAAAAAAACCTGACTAGGGTCTTAGCCAATCCCCATTATTTTCAAGCTACATAGTGTTAAAGCTTTCTTTACTGAATATAAATTTAATTGTTTATGTAGGCCCTTGTACTGTGTAGTGCCTCTCTATAACCTCCTATAACATAGTCCATTACCTCTTGATCTTGTCGATAGATAACATTTATTTTCCTCTTCCTGAAATATGGTGACAATGCTGTTCCTTCTTCTGTGGAATTGCACAGCAGTGTTGTCACCCTGAGGTCAGGGTAGTCTTAAATGGACATGGAATTTTAAATGAGGGAAGTTAGAGGGAAACAAATTAGTGTCTAACTCCAGCCAACACATTTATACAGTTACTGTAACCAGTACTAGAGACAAAGAGAATATGGCAGCAATCATCATGTGAGCACAACTCTAAATTTATTTAAAGTGGTTCCAAAGACTCAAAGTTTTTTACCTTCTTGCATTCTATGTGTGTGCAGCATCCCCCCCAGCCCACCTAATACTCACCGAAGCCCCCTCTCGATCCACTGGCTATCCCAAGACTCCCTCCTCTTATTGTCTGAGACATAAGCGGGAGCCATTGGCTCCCACTGCTGTCAATCACAGCCAGTAAGCCAATGAGAAGAGACAGGGGGTGGAGCCAGCTCAGTGTGTGAATGGACACACAGAGCAACGGGTGCCCCCATAGCAAGCAGCTTGCTGTGGGGGCACCTGACAGTAGGGACTGGCCAGGAGAGCTTGCGGAGAACCTGAGAAGAGGAGGATCCAGGCTGCTCTGTACAAAACCACTGCACAAAGCAGGCAAGTATAGACATGCTTGTTAATTTTTCTTAAAAAAAAATTTGAATCACTTTAAAGGTGTTAAAAAAAAAGGTTTCAAATAAAATATATAATATAATGCTACATATATGTGTCAGTCAGGGGCGGACTGACAACTCATGGGGCCCCCGGGCAATAAGGGATCATGGGGCCCCTGTGTCCTTGCCCACACTCAAAGCACACCCAAAAAAGCCTATAAAAAGGTACCAAGGGCATTTCATGGGGCCCCCTACTGACCCCGGGCCCTAGGGCAGTACCCGAGTGCTTGAATGGTCAGTCCGCCCCTGGTGTCAGTCTCACAATAATGTTATGGAACTGGTAGGTCTATTATGCCTGCTGCTCTGGAAGGAAAAATATGTTTGACATTTAAGATATTTGGATTCTTCTGCTCTACAGCAGCAGAATTAGTTGCTTGTATGCTTTTATGAACCATTGTATAAAGACTTCTTAGAGGTTTACACTATCCATGAATTACAACATTACACTGATTTGCCCTACATAGCTGCTATTCTACGTAGGTTGGACTTTTAGCTCCTGTAATGTATTTACTATATTGGAACTCATTGTTATTCTCTATCTGTGGTGCAGGGCTGCATATACTATCAACAAATTAAAAAAAATTGGATTTCAGGCAACTCTGTGGGACTTGCGCCTCTCTCTCTAATTTTGCTGCATTTCCCTGCTTCGCTTTCTAGCAGTTTTTGTAATTTGGAGGTTGGATGAAAGTCACAAGAAATTAGCATAGTCTTGGATCAATAATAGAGAAACAAACTCCTGAGCTGTGTAGTTATAAAAAAGAACCTTCAGTGTGCAGATTCTATGATAAACACACCACAGCATACACAACAAGAGGCTTGCTGAAAAATGAAAAAGATAAAGAATGTCCAGTAACCTGTTAACTGGCAATCAAGTTTTTTGCAGATGCAGATATCTAAAGTCATCTAATTTCTGTATCCAAAGGCTCAACAGTGCCTCTGTAATAATGTGTAAACAGTTTTATCTCCATAGTGAAAATGATGTTTTTGTTCTAGGATTGCCACATGCGACTTTATTGAGAGGCTAAGGGTTGGGATCCACTTTTTTGCCTTTAAAGTGGTTGCAAACCCTTACATACTGTATATCCAGTGAAGTGACTGGCCTCAGGAGATGCACAGAGATTAAACAAATCCTCCTACATAAGTTGTACCTGTTTCCATTCAAAGTTCTGAATTTATAAAGCTTGTCTGAGCTGTCAGAAAAAAAAAGAGCTGAAATAATACACTGCAGAGCTCAGAGAGGAGAGTTCTGAGAGTTGATCTGTGTGTGTGTGTGGGGGGGGGGGAAACACCCCCTCCCCTCTACACCGCTCAAAGGAGCAGAGCTAATGCTGTCAATCTGCTGGAGGTCAATCCCCTGTCAGCTTTTTTTCTCTTGCTGTCAAAAAACGTGTCAGAAGTGATTCATGCTGATAGCAGAGGAACAAGGCAGCAGAGAGAAATGACACTTAGTGCTCTGCATTGAGACAAGTACACACTATAGAGGGATATGCGTTGTTCATATTTCAGTATAATAAAATGTGAAATATAAATATATGACCTACATTTGAAGTGCATATTATTCTGCAAAAAGTATAAGTGTAGGGAAGCAGGTAAGTAGGCCAACGAGATACATATGTGTGAACTGTCTTTCTTTCCTAAAAAATGTGCAAATCAGTCAGTTTTGTAATTCATCCAGAAAAAGATCCAGCACACCAGCAAAGTTAATGACAAACTTGCTGAAGTTTCATTATAAAGTAATAATAAATGCAAGACTCCAAGAAAAAGTGCAAAAGTAAACATATCCACCAATGTTTCAGGGCCTTGTTGGATCCCTTTCTCAAAGTGACAAACGTGGCAACATGTAATTAATCATGGACTGCACCACCTGCCTGGAGTTTGCATGTTCTCCCTGTGCCTGCGTGGGTTTCCTCCGGGTACTCCAGTTTCCTCCCACGCTTCAAAAAGACATGCTGGTATGTTAATTGGATCCTGTCTAAATTGACCCTAGTATATGTATGTATGAATGTAAGTTAGGTACTTTAGAATGTACACCCCCTGAAGGTTAAGGACTGATGTGAATGTACAATATATATGTAAAACGCTGAGTAAATTGACGGCGCTATATAAGTACCTGAAATAAATAAAATAAATAAATATTTATACTACCACTAATGATCAAACCTGCTACACCTTGATCACCTCCATTAGTCCCATGCCCCTGCCTTCAAGTATATACCAATTATGAGAATAAACAAAAAAGCACAAAGGAACATAATTGTGCAGAATAGGCAATGACATTCTTAAAAAAAACCAAAAAAAACATGAAAAATGGAGTCCCAGACCACTTTGGGCCTGGGGGCCCCATGAGTTGTCAGTCCGCTCCTGGCTAGGGGGTATGATGCCAGGTGGATTGGACTGAAGTTTTGTATTGCAGACACTAAACAAATTCCTGACCATTTACTGTACTGATGATGGTAATCATTTGGCTTTTTTGTCCAATCACCAAACTCCATTTGTGAGATTCACAGCACTGCGCAATGCAATAATGCCTGATTGGCAGTTATGGTGCCTCCTCTCCCGATCTGAATATCGATGCACAAAAGATTACTGGAGTCTGGAACAAAGAAAGGTTAAGCTCAGATGTAACTGTCCCGACTAACTCTTTACACATCACATGCAACTTTTCATCGTAGGCTAAGTATCCATGCTTACCTTCCAACATTTTAAAATGATAAAAAGGGACAGCTTTTAGCACAGTGTGTAGGCAAAGGTTACATCCTCTTAGAGCCACAAAGATTTAAAATGCAGAAAATGATTGGGTAAACCACACAAGTCCTTTTTTGACCTCTCTTGTTTCTTTGTATCGGCTTTTCAAAAAGAACAGCTGTAGTAATATAGAGGTTGAATTACAAGTTAATGTAGCATAACATTTTTGGTAGTAAAATAGTACATTTTGTAGACACATACACATCCAGGGCCATGGATAAGGGGGTACCACCAGTCCTTCTGTACAGGGCCCAGGCCAGCAGGATGGGTTAATCGGATGTGGGCAGGGAGGGTGAGCGGCAGGGCAGGTAGGGGGGCAATTACTGGAACCAATTTCCTGTATGGCTCTCTCTACAGCAGCTGAAAGATGGCTTCTTCTCCTCCCCCCCTCTGCTGGCTTTCATCAGAAATTTACCATCCCTTCCTTTCCTGAATGAACACAATGAGTGATCACTACCGATCACTCACTGTGTTCGTTCACAGCTGAAGCCTACTAAGCTGTGTTTTTTGTGGGGATGGAGGGGGGCTGTTAGATTGGCTATACGGGGACCCATGGTTTCGGGGGCCCTGTCAGTTTGGCTGTAAGGGGCCCCATGATTTCTAACAGCAGCCCTGTACACATCAGACCACAAAGCGGGACAACGGAGGTTGCAAGAGGGACAGAGGGATCTAGTCTCAGGAGAAGGACAGTCCCTTAAAATGAGGGGCATTTGGAAGCTACATATGTGCCACAGGAGATAATATGAGACAACCCACCACTGTATATAGAACCATACCTTCTTGGCATTATCTACTAAAATCTGAGATATTATAGCATGAAGGAGTTAATTCTTCACAACAAGGTCATTGTTATTCCAATATACTATACTGAACACATTCTTGCAGAGAGAGATCATTTGTGTTTGCACTGGGGTTATTGTGAACATAGATACTAAGTCCATAGATTGTAGGATGCAGCACTGCGTCCATGCTGAGTCAAGGGATATGTTAAATCTATGCAAAGAGATGGCAAAAGAGAGGATGTGAATGTCTGGACAGTGCTACTCACTCTGCAGGAAGAGCTGGCACGGCATTTGCAGTCTACCGGGCAGCGCCAGCACCTCCTAGCTCTGCACACAATTTATGTTCTGCTGAGGGAGAAATAAATCAGAATTATTTTTAATAAAGTGCTGATCATTTTTAATCAGGTTTCCTTTAGAGTTCTGGCCCCCGCTTACTCCGGGGACCCTTGCTGCCCCCCTTCCTTGTCCTCCAAGCTGGGAGATTCATTTCTCCCCTGATAGCTGGAAGCTTTTAATATAGATAATATGAATTAAATTAATACAAGGCAGTGCGTTCCTGGCCTGGATAGAACATAGGCTAACTTTTACAATGTCTAAAGTCTTGGCGTAGAACTATGGCTGGCAACTTCCAGCTTCTTTATTGATGGGACGCATTAATAAACCCCCAATCAAGTGGTATGACTGTAGCTTAACTTTTTTTTTTTCTGATCTCACTTTGATAATCTGAGGATACTATTGTTCCTATGGATTATTGCTCTGTTTTGTAGACTATGTTTAGTTATTTGTTTGCTGGTTTATGGTTGCCTCAACTTAACTATTTAAAGGTAATGGGGCAATTTACTAAAACTGGAGAGTGCAAAATCTGGTGCAGCTGGTCAGAGTAGCCAATCAGCTTCTAACTTGAGCTTGTTCACTTAAGATTTGACTAAAACAAATCTGAAAGCTTCTTGGTTTCTATGCAGAGCTGAACCAGATTTGCACTCTACAGTTTTAGTAAATCAAACCCAATGTGTAGTCTTGTCTGTATTTTTATATAGACATGCAAAATAGATCAGATTGATGTAGATTATCTTATCAAAATGTGTTAGCTCTGGTTCACACTGGTGTGACTTGTCATTCAATTTGATTTGCATCCTATTTGTGCCTATGGAACCGTTCAAATTGGTGTGGCACCAATTTTCCTGCACTATTTTTGGTGGTTTCATGTGCGACTTGCACGGACATCTGTTCATGAGGTCACATGAAATCACACCAACCAGCGGCTTTGACTGCAAGTGAAGTACTGTGATTTTAAAGCTGCATTCAGTATGAATCATGGCTAAATGTCTTAAATTCTTTATTTCTATGTATAATTGTAATGTAAATGCATCCATATTTGTTCATTACAGGTAATGGCAGAATTACTTCAAGGTAAACATTGAAATAATACTTCAAATATTCATCTTCTTCTCTCTCTTATTATTTAGCATTTCTGAAATGCCAGATATTGTTGGAAAACAGACTATTTCCAATACACTATATGGGACCAAAAGTTGGAAAGACCAATTTTTGCAGACAAGATTGGCCCCTTTTACATGGGGTGGATCTGCTTGCTCAGCAGGGGATCTCTCCACTGATCCCCACTGAGC